TTGGCCGCGCTGGCGAGCCCAGGGGGGCGGCCGCCGGCCGCGGCAGCAGCGCCCAGTTGGCGCTGATTCGGCGCCGCCGCGCCGCCGCAGTCTCCATCGCCCGGGGCTGAGCGCCAAACACGCATGGCGTGGCGGCGGCGCCGCGGCGGCGGCGGCCGCGGCGGCCGCGGGGGCGGCAGCGCCGGCGGCACTAGCCGCAGCACAGGGCGGCCAGCGGCGGGCCGCGCAGCCAGGCTGCCAGCAGGGGGCGGCAGCCTCGGCGGCGGGCGGCGCGCGCTGGCGACACCGCGGCTCGGGGCGGCGCGGCAGGCGGCAGCCAAGTGCAGCGGCAGGCAGGCGGCGGCGCCGCGGCGGCCACGGCAGCCGCGCCGGCGGTGCCAGCTCGGCGTGCGGCCGCCGCCCGCCGCTGCTGCCGCCGGCAAGCCGTGCGCGCCGACGGCGACATCAAAGCGGGGCTTGCGACACAGAGACCCACGGCCGCGCGAGGGCTCACCGTGGGGATCGTGCGAGAAGAAAGAAAGCCTGCTGCAGGCGCGCACGCCTCGGGCCAGCCCCTCGGCAGCAGACAAGCACGAAGCCGCAGGGCGACAGTTTCGTACTTGAGCCAGAGGGGCTACGGACGCTGTTGGGGATACGCGCAGCATCAAGAATTCAAACCTGTTTTGATCGCAGCGCTCGTTCTCCAAGAAGTCCTCTTGCCTACAAGAGTGTTCACTCTACCTACAACTCCCTCCCAAGCCCCTCTCACTCCCCTTACCCCCCATCCACCTCCGACTCCCTTTGCCCCTTCGCCGTCCGCCTCCCTCATCTAATTCCGCAATACCATAAGTATGATATAGTTATCCTCCTCGTCCCCGCTGTCTTCCCTCAACTGCTGCTACGCAAAAGAGACATGCACAAATGTGTTGACCAGCTCACGAAGATTCATAGGCGAGAGCACGCGCGAGGAGAGGTGCGATGTGGGCACCTGGTCTATTGAATATGAAGATTCGGATCGCTCTATTCACAGACGCAGCTCAAGCGAAAAAAAATCGTGGCGCTGTACAAGATGCACTGCTCAACCTACAGCAGGACCTGCCTCGGCGCGCGTTTCTTCTCTGGGCCGGCTTGAACAGCCAGTCCTGTGCAAGGCGCCATGCCGCGCCCTCCCAATGCACCTGCGCGCGCCCAGCTCCAGTCCCCCTAGACTGGCGAAGACGTGCGGACGGCGTGGGCTCGAAGCAAACCTACAGGGCAGGTTTCATTTCATACATAGGATTTGAAAATCTATGATTTTATCACATGATTAGTCTATGAATAAATTGATGCATGAACTCCTCGTTGTTTTTCAGAATAGATCCCCGCATTTCTTAGAATAAATATTTCCGCACGCGGAACATGTATTAAAAACGGCACTGTAAACATTGTGTTTCTGACCCTGTGCCCCCGAAAATCACACAGAGGGGATAATAAGGTTCAGGGCTCTGGGGAAAAAAACAAAGTTGTCCCAAAAACTCGCATGTACAGATATACGGATGTACGGTTTTCGGACGTACAATGTACGGCGTGGCGTAGAAATAATACGAGTAGCAGGAGTCGTAGGAATAGGAAGAGGAGTAGGAGCAGGAGTCAAGCTAGCCAGCTCGAGCGAGTCAAGCATGGCATGCCCATTCCCACCCGCCCTCCCACAACATAAGAAACAGTGCTGGCGCAACTGGGGACCGAAATCAGATCGGCAAGGTGGTTTGCCACAGCTGATGCAGCCGCGATGGCGGTTACCGATAAGAAACCCCTGGCGCGTCTCAAAAACTGCGTTGGCATTTCAGCACGAGCCGGCCCCAAGAAGCCTCAGGAGGCCCCAGGAGGCCTCAGGAAAAGCCCCAGCGAGCCCCAGGAAGCCCCAGGAGGCTTCAGGAGGGCCCAGGAAGCCCCAGGTAATTCCAGGAGGCTTCAGGAAGCCCTAGGAAGTATCAGGAAGCCCCCGGAGAATCCTAGGAAGCCCCAGGATGCCTCAGGAGGCTCCAGGAGGATCCACGAAGCCCTGGGGAAGCCCCGGGAAGCCCCAGGATGTTCCAGGAGACCCTGGGAGGCCCCAGGGGGCCCTAGGCGCTCGACGAATTGGCGAACGACAAATGTGCGCCGCGCCTGAGCGGGAGCGCAACTTTCAGAAAACATGCGCGCGGCGCCGAAGCGAGAGCGACATTTCGCCCTGTCGCGCGCGATGTACACCGCGCCCCCCTCCTGCCACGCATTTCGCAAAGCAGACGACAAGAAAATCCCCACTGAGAAGAAGCATGTCGACGTTGTACGGTTTTTGACGGGTAGGATGGCCCCTCCCGCTTGGGGTTGCCCCAGACGTCCGCGCGCGATGTGCGCCGCGTCCCATTCCTGCTACGCATTCCGCATCGTCGACGACAAGAAAGGCCATGTTGAGAGAAAAAACGGTGTTGTATTGATTGTTTGCAATTAAGATGGGCGGGCCCGGATTGACGGCCCCGCGCGATGTGCGCCGCGTCCTAATCCTTCTACGCATTTCGCATCGTCGACGACAAGAAAGGCCATGTTGAGAGAACAACGATGACTTTGTATTAGTTGTTTACAATTAGGATGGGAGGGCCCGGATGAAACCCCTACCAGCCAGCCAGAGGGGGGAGCAAGAGTACATTCTAATAAAGCATAAAAGATAGGAGCACGAGCAGTCGCAATCGCAATCGGACTCGCAGTCGTAGGCGCAGTCGCAATCGCAATCGGAATCCTGATAGTAATCATACTTGTGAAAATAAAAAGAGACAGTGATATCATTAGTAATAATACGAATAGTAAACGTAATAGTAATAGTAATAGCAATAGCAATAGCAATAGCAATAGTAATAGTAATAGTGAAAGGAATAGTAATAGTATTAGTAATAGTAATAGTAGTAGCAATAGTAATAGTAATAGTAATAGTAATAGTAAAAGTAATAGTAATAGTAATAGTAATAGTAATGGTAATAGTAATGGTAGTAGTAATAGTAATAAGATAGTAATAGGAATACTAATAGTAATAGCAATAGTAATAGTAATAATAATAGTAATATTAATAGTAATAGTAATAGTAATAGTAATAGTAATAGTAATAGTAATAGTAATAGTAACAGTAACAGTAATAGTAATAGTAATAGTAATAGTAATAGTAATAGCAATAGAAATAATACAAATAATAGTAATAGTCTTAGTAATAGTAATAGTAATAGTAATCGCAATCGTAATCGTAATCGTAATCGTAATCGCAATATTAATAATATTAGTAATAGTATTAGTAATAGTAATAGTAATAGTAATAGTAATAGTAATAGTAATAGTAATAGTAATAGTAATAATAATAGCAATAGTAATAGTAACGGTAATAGTAATGGTAATAATAATAGTAATAGTAATAGTAATAGTAATAGTGATAGTAAGGATAATAATAGTAATAGTAATAGTAATAGTAATAGTAATAGTAATAGTAATAGTAATAGTAATAGTAATAGTAATAGTAATAGTAATAGTACTAGTAATAGTAATAGTAATTGTAATAGTAATAGTAATCGTAATAGTAATAATAATAATAATCGTAATCGCAATCGTAATCGTAATCGTAATCGTGATAGTAATGGTAATAGTAATAATAATAGGAACAGTAACAGTAATAGTAATAGTAATAATAGTAGTACTAGCAATAGTAACACTAATAGTAATAGTAATAGTAATAGTAAAAGTAATAGTAATAGTAAGAGTAATAGTAATAGTCATAGTAATAGTAAATAGTAATAGTGATAGCAATAGCAATAGCAATAGCAATGGCAATAGCAATAGCAATAGCAATAGCAATAGCAATAGCAATAGCAATAGAAATAGCACTAATACTACTACTAGTTCTAGTACTAGCACTTGTAATAGAGATAGGAATAGGAATAGGAAGAGGAAGAGGAATAGGAATAGTAATCATAAGGGTAATAGTAATAGTAATAGTAATAGTAATAGTAATAGTAATGGTAATGGTAATGGTAATGGTAATAATAATAATCATCGTCAAAGTAATAATAATAATAATAGTAATAGCAATAGCAATAGTAATAGTAATCGTAATAGTGATATTAATAGTGATAATACTAGTAATAGTAATAATAATAGTAAGAGTCATAGTAATAGTAATCGGAATCGCAATCGTAATCGTCATCGTAATCAGAATCGTAATAGTAATAATAATAATAGTAATATTAATAGTAATAATAAGAATAATAGTAATAGTAATAGTAATAATAATAATAATGATACTAATAATAATATGATTACTGATAGTAATACTAAAAGTAATCGTAATAGTACTAATAACAGCAATAGCAGTACGAATCGTGAGAGTACTAGTAATAGTAGTAGTAATAGTAATAGTAATAGTAATAGTAATAGCAATCGTACTTGTAAGTCAATATAAAAATAAGAATAGAAATCGTAATCGTGATAGTAATCGTAATAGAAATAAGAATAGTAATAGTGATAGTAATAGTAGTAGTAATGGTGATAGTGATAGGAATAGTAATAGTGATATTAATAGTATTAGTAATAGAAATAATACTAACAATATTATTAACCATAGTAATAATACTGGTAATATGAATAACACTAATTATAACACTTACAATAACAATGGGCATCGAAATCGTAATAGTAATACGAATGATACAGTAGCAAGCGTACGGATAATTGTTAAAACATTACTAGAAATAAGAATCGTGACCAGACGAATAAAGCGTAGGGATCGGAATAGCACTAATAGTAGCAATAAAAAATAACAAACGTAATCGTAATCGTGATAGTAATAACGATCTTACGTATGGTAACAATAATAATAATACTATGAGTAGTAGTAGTAGTAGTAGTAGAAGTAGTAGAAGTAGTAGCGATACTAATAACAATAATGAGAATTACAAGAATCATCATAATAATATTCCTGCGACGGAGGCGCAGCACCTAGGAGGTCGGCGTCCGCGCCGTCCGATCTACCGATCCTGAACAGGGGAAACGGAAGGCAGGAATGGGCCAAAATTTACACAAGCAGCCGCCAAGCGGTCCAGGAACCCATAGCGCAGAAAGGGAGACAGAAGCCTGGAATGGCACGGGTAGCGAGAACAGGGGTCGGAATGCATTCCCCGAAACCAGCGGAGCCCGACCCCTTCGACCCCTCACAAAGGCGGGGCACTCTTCCGAACCGGCCAGAGCGCGTCAGCATTGACTCCCCTTGGTGGTCAACTGGTCCTTCCGCCGGTCTCCGCCGAGCCTCCGCTCACAGAGCCGCCCTCGCTTTACCCGCACCGTCCCTGCGCCGACCTCCGCAGAGGGGCGAGGGGCCAACTTCTCCGCGAGGGCGAGGACCTCCTTGGAGCGCCCAGGCCCAGACCTCCGACGGCACGACCCCTTCGAGTCGTTGGCCGCCCGGGCTCTCGACCCCCTTCCCCGAAGAAGAAAACTGGCGGCGCGCCGAGGGGGGAAGTGAGCAGGGGCGGGAGCTCTCAAAAGTAGAGGAAAAAGAACTATGCACATGCACCGATTCTGGCCAGGCCCATCCTGAGCCCAGGATCGGTGCATACGCCCTCCTACCTTGGCCAGGAAGGCATATGCACCGGATCGGTGCATGTGCATAGTTCTCTTCGCCCGAAAAAGGCTCGCAAGATCCCCGGCCTTCTGACGAGTGCTCTGAGCCTTCCCCGAAGCAAGCGGGCAGCCGGGCGCCGGACCGAGAGAGCTGCGCGGGCCCCCGAGCTCCGGAGACCGTCGGCTCGAACAAGCTGCCTTGCCTTCGACAGCCTACGGCAGGCCTCGGCGTTGGCTCCTGACGCCGCGGGGATCGTTCAACCTTGCACGATCGGCCGATTCCGACACGTCGGATCGTGCATGGTCGACCGAGTCCGCGTCGCCCGCGGCGTTCAACGTTGAACGCAGGCGGCGGGGTCGCAGCTGGTCGACACGACGCGAACCTGCCGTATGCCGTATGTTCAGTTCCGCTAGCTTCTGCTGACGGAGCCTCCCTCGATTTGCATCCGCCGCCTGCCGCCGGCCTTCCGCCGCCTTCTGCCGAGGAGGAGATATACAAAATTCTCAACTCGATGACGATTTGTTGGAACGCACCATATGATTACGCGTTGTTCCTTCTTCGAGCTGTCCGACTGTCCGAGGAACTGGGAACGACCCCCGGACGCCGAGAAGAGGGCGCGATTTGTTCGGCCCCCGAGCACGACCTTAGCAGCGCCCCAGATGCCCGGAATCATGAGCTCTTCGAGACGTGCACCCCCGTCGGGGACGCACTGGCCTGGGTCAAAGCAAACCCGGGTTAGTCAGGCCTTGCAGGATCCTGCAAGATCCTGCGGGATAGGCTCCCGACCCCAGACCTCCCGACCCCCCTTCCTGGGGCTGGCTCTGCATCATGAGTGAACTTTTGATGATGGCCCTGGGGCCCAAAGCGGGCCTCCAGAGCCCCCCCTTCAACAGAGGAACAAGCAAACAAGCAAAGAGCATCGCGATCTGTGTTTGTTCGCGACGCCGGAGCGTCGGGTTCCTGGTGCTCCACCGTTCTCTTTCTGCTGGTCCTCCTCGTCGCCGCCGGCGCGGGGACGGCGGCCATCGGCCTGGACGTGCGAAAGGGGCTCAGGGTAGGACTGCCGCCCGCCAGCCAGGCCATGACCGTGGAGCGGTGGTACAGGAACCTTCAAGGGCAGCTCGAAACGTATCCAGGCCCCTCTGTCCTACATCATCACGGCAACAGCGATGATGATAACTGCCACGGCAACAGCAGCACGGCAACAGCAGCACGGCAACACCTCCTCGAATGGTTATTCTGTGCACAGCGAAGACGCAGCGGACCCGGACCCCCTCGCGCTGAGAAAACATATTCATGGAGCATGTTTGGGCAACTTTCTGCATCGCAGGGGGCATTGCCAGTCCCTGGAGCCCTCAAAAAAACATGATGGACCCACGAACCCGGAAAGGGATATAGACATGTGGAGCATGGACACGTTTTCACGATACCCAACTGGGCAACACCTCACGAAACATCCCACGAGACACTTCACGAAACATCCCACGAGACACCTCACGAAACATTCCACGAGACACCTCACGAAACATTCCACGAGACACCCCGCGAAACATTCCACGAGACACCCCACGAAACATTCCACGACGACAGGCAACCACTCAACCAAGGCGGTGTGGTCGTGCTGGGGAGTGGTCGTGCTGGGGTGTGGTCGTGCTGGGGGGTGGTCGTGCTGGGGGGTGGTCGTGCTGGGGGGGTGGTCGTGCTGGGGGTGGTCGTGGGGGGTGGTCGTGCTGGGGCGTGGTCGTGCTGGGGCGTGGTCGTGCTGGGGCGTGGTCGTGCTGGGGTGTGGTCGTGCTGTGGTGAGGTCGTGCTGGGGTGTGGTCGTGCTGGGGTGTGGTCTTGCTGGGGTGGGGTCGTGCTGGGGTGGGGTCCTGCTGGGGTGTGGTCGTGCTGGGGTGTGGTCGTGCTGGGGTGGGGTCGTGCTTGGGTGGGGTCGTGCTGGGGTGTGGTCGTTCTGGGGTGGTCCGCACCCTGTGATTTATCGATCGGGTCGTGCTGGGGTGTGGTCGTGCTGGTGCTGGGGTGTGGTCGTGCTGGGGTGTGGTCGTGCTGGGGTGTGGTCGTGCTGGGGTGTGGTCGTGCTGGGGTGTGGTCGTGCTGGGGCGTGGTCGTGCTGGGCGTGGTCGTGCTGGGGTGTGGTCATGCTGGGGGTGTGGTCGTGCTGAGGTGTCCCGCACCCTGTGATTTATCGATCGGGATTTCAAAAACAAGCGTTTCGCCTGAGACATCCTCAAAGTTTAATCCGCCGGCCTCCTTCGACCTCGATATTTATCAGGGAAAGAATCCGCCGGCCTCCTTCAAGTTGGGCACCGGGGACATGTTTACATACTAAAAGAGAACCCTGGGCCTACGCCCTTTCCGGGAACAAGCCTGGATAGGGGGCACGAGGTCCTGGCAGAGAAAGCGACGCGACGGCGACGACGGCTGGCGAAGGCGAGGACGAGGACGACAGACGAACGAGCGAGGCGACGACGGACTACGACAGAAGACGACGAACGACGGCGGGAGTGCGCAGAGGGGTCGACACTGAAAAGAGCAGCAAGAAGGAAGAGGTGGAGGAGGAGGAAGAGGAGGGGCAAAACAGAAGGGTCAGGAAATCCGCCGGCCCCCTTGCGGGGCCATCAGGCTGCGAAGATTAGGCTTGCAGCTCCCTGTACCAGTTGCAGCGTTTCCAGTTTCCACTGTTACAGTCCTGCTCTCTGCTTCCTTACTGTTTTTTGATTCTGAACGCGCGAGGGGGGGGCCGAAAATCTTCCTTGCTAGCGTCCCCGAATCGCGTTGTCGAATTTCAATTCCAGGGAGGTCGGGGGACACGTACAAAGACATGATATTCGCGTCCCCGAGGCCAAAATTTGTTAGATCAATTAAAAATATACTTATACAAGAAAAAACATAGTCGCGCCCACGAGGCTAGAAACCTTAATAAACCATACTATATTCGCGTCCCCGAAGCCATAATCCCTTGCAAATTCCATCAGATTCGCGTCCCCGAAGCCATAAACCTTCGTAAATGACGCGTCACTCGCGCCCCCGAAACCATAAATCCTTGCAAATGAAATAATACTCGCGCCCCCGAAACCATAAACCTTCTTAAGATTACTCAATGTTTGCGCCCCCAACGCGAGAACCCCCCTATAAATTACACCATATGTGCGTCCCCGAGGCCACAAAACCTAGCAAATTACAAGATTCGCATCCCCGAGGCCATAAACCCTTGCGAATTACACAATAGTTGCGCCCCCGAGGCCATAAACCCGTGTAGTTTACGCGATCTTGGTGTCCCCGAGGCCACAAACAAATGTAAGTTACACCATTTTCGCGTCCCCGAAGCCATAAACCATCGTAAATTACCTCATACTCGCGCCACCGAAGCCATAAACCCTCGTAACTTAATATTGGCCCTCGCGTGAAGTCCCGACATTGCTTCACGTCAGCGCCCAGACATCCCAACACAGCTCTGGCAAGTCGCATTCTAAGAGAGGGGGGCCGGCGGCATGGGGGCGAAGCCCTTGCGGATAAAAGGGAGGAGGACAAGAAGAGGAGCAGAGGAATGAGAAGGAGGGGAAGATAGCGAGAGATAGAGAGAGAGAGAGATAGAGAGAGAAACAAAAAAAAAAAAAAAAAAAAAAAAAAACGAGGGGCGCGGCAGGCACACGTTCTGTGGGCGCACCTTCTCCTCCCCCTCCTGCTCGCCCACATCCCTGTCTCTGCACGCGTCCTCTGGGGATCCGCAGACTGGGGTATAGACCTCTGGGAGCAGACATTGGACCTCGTGGCGCACATGCTCCATCCACACTGAACACCGCCAGGTGCTCCAGAATCCCAAGTGGACCCCACGGCAAACAGAGAACAAGACGCACCAAAAGTATGGGAGGCGCCGGCTGCCAGGCCACGTCATTATCTGGTGTGCGCCCCCCGCAGCGGGAGGACGACCATGAGCAGGGTAAGAACGGAGGGGGGAGGGCGAAAATACAGGCGCTTGCAGTTTCGAACTCCCCAGGGGGAACCCTTCGTCATCCTTGCCTGGAGGGACGTAGATACGGTGCAGGCTGCTGGGCAGCTGGCGATAACCGATCTTGAAGTCTCTGGGCAGCCACTCCTCCTGGTCCTTGCCAGGGCGGCCGCTTACAGGGAGGCAGCTGTCGGGGGGCGCTGGAATTAGGTCGCCGGTCTTCGCACTGCAAGCTGCGCAAAGCGCGAAAATATTCATGCGATTTACCAACACGGCACCACTGGAATCGACTCGGCAATCGCAAAACAACGCGGCGACGGACCGTGCGGTGACCTCGAAGTCCCCAGCGACCTCACCGCACGATCCGCCGCCGCACCGTTGTGGAGCCCCCGAGGCCCCACGTGCCCGAGACCTCCTCGGAGAACGACCCAAGTCCCAAGACCATGCGGTCACTCCGAATCTCCTTTGACTCGCACAGTGTGGGAAACCACCAGTCCATGGCCGCGCGCCCTGGCTCAAGACCAGAGGCGCGAAGCGAGATCGTCATCATCATCATCATCATCATCATCATCATCGTCATCATCATCATCATCATCATCATCATCATCATCATCATCATCATCATCATCATCAACATCATCATCACCATCATCACCACCACCATGATCATCATCATTACCACCACCACTACTACCACCATCACCATCACCATCACCACCACCGTCACCACCATCACCACCACCACCATCATCAACATCATCATCACAATCACGATCACCAACATCATCACCACCACCATCATCACCACCACCATCATCATCATCAACAATATCATCATCGTCATCATCGTCATCATCATGTTTTTCGTCATAATCATCATCATCGTCATCATCATCATCATCATCCTCATCATCATCATCAGATTCTTCATCATATTCTTCATCATCATCATCAGCAGCAGCAAGCACTAGCATCATCATCGCACCCTCGCGCGGACCGCCGCCCCGGGAGACGAACAGGTCTTCGCACCAGGCCAGGGCGCGCGAGGCGCGGTGGTCTCCGCGCCCCCGCCAGCGACCTCCTGCAGACTCACGCCGCGATGACGTCGGCTGGCGTCGGCTTCTGGCACCGCGCGGATCGCTTAACCTCGAACGATCGCCCTGAACGATCGCTCGCTCAAGGTGTTTCGCGAGTTTCGGCCTCTGGGGGCCCTTACCCGCCCTCGGGACCGTCAGAAAACAACTGTGGGTGAGAAACTCGTCCTGGTGAATGGGTCGATACCTCTGGGGTCCGCGTACAAGAAATCATGACGTGGGGGGTCTGGCTGCGCAGACCGCTCGAAATACCGGCCGATCTTGACGTCGCGATGACGTCGGCTGGCGTCGGTTCCTGGCACCGCACGGACTTTTCCACCTTGAACGATCGCTGCTTCCCAGACAGCGCAGACCGCTAGGAATATCGGCCGATTCTGACGTCGGCTGGCGTCGGCTTCTGGCACCGCGCGGATCGTTCAACCGTGAACGATCGCCGCTTCTCGACAACACCAACCGCTCGATATCGGCCGACAAATCTCCCATGACAGCACCACGACATAGAACCAGCATGAAGCAGGCCTGAGCGCATGGCCCACGCGAGCCCAAATGTCAACAAAGAGACCCAAACAGCAGGAGGAAGCAAGGGTCGGGGATGGACAGACCTCCCTTTAGTTCAAACGTGGTTAAGTGAAAACGACCTGAGGCCCCAACCTGGCGGGCGCAAGCCTGGAACATAACGGCCGCGGCGCCCTCTCGAGAACCGAAAACGGACAATTCGCGAATCGACGTGCCACTGTTGGGGGTTCTGCCCACCCCGTAAGGGGGACGGCCAGCAGTCTCGGGAAGACAAGCCCAGACCCCCGACGTCATGATTTTTTCATGACGTCGATCCCCAGCGGTCTGGACCCATTTCCCGGGACCGGTTTTTCCTCCTGAGTCGTTTTTTGACGGCCCCGAGGGCCGGTAAAGGCCCCCAGATGCCGAAAATAGCGAAAAACCTGCCGTCATGATTTTTTCATGACTCGAGGGGGTCTGGGAGAGAAGAGCCTGACAAGAGCAAGGCCTGCCAAACGAAGAGCCTGCCAAACGAAGGCTCAACATCGGCCAGCTCCGGGCCACTCCTCCTCCTCCTCCTCCTCCTCCTCCTCCTCCTCCGAACGCCCGCGCTGGCGCCACCAGCGCGCGGAACGCGGCGCGAGCCCGCCGCAGACCAGCGGGCCCCCCATTCCTCGAGAAGCCTCGGGAGGTTCGAGCAGAAGCCAGGGCAGACAGAAGTCGAAAGCTGGATTTCTTGATCCGCGGGTCGAGAGCGCACCGCTTCCGGTCGAAGCTGAGCGGGCCGCGCGAAGCTTGAATTGGGCAGAGGAGAGGAGGGAGGAAGCGGCGGAGCCTCAGAGCGAGGCCGAATGGACAGAAGTCGAAAACTAGAGGCCTCCCAAATGAGGTCCGAGCAGATGGGATCGGACGATCGCGCCGCGTCGTCCACACATCGGCGACGCATCGACAATGCACTGGCGACGTCGGCGATGCATCGGCGACGCTGGCTTTGAGAAAATCGGGCTCCACATCGAACCGCATCAACGATGCATCGGCGATGCGACGCGATCGACCGACCTCATATATTCGGACCCCATCTGAGAGGCCTAGAAAACTCAATCCTCGATCGTCGAACCTCGAGGATCGAGGATGAGGAGGAGAGATGGTACGCGGCAGGTTCGTAGCGTAATGACCTGGGGCGCTGGTCTCTGAATTCACGGAGATCGTTCAACCTTCAGCGAACGCGCGACTTCCCAACAGCGCAGATCGCTCGATATCGGTACATTCCGGGCCGTTGACGGCGTTCCTCCCTGGACGCCCGTGACGGGGTCTCCGCCGCGTCGACACGACACAAACCCGCCTTAGGTCCGCTTCCCCCCCCTGTGTCAGTAGCCCCCTCGTCCGAGGGGGGGCGAGTGGGGTGGACTGGCACAAGGGGGGAACACTTTGACTTGGAATCGGCGATGCATCGGCGATAGATCGACGATAGCGACCAGCCTGGAACATATCCCTATCCCTATGCTGGGCATCTCCTCATCACGATGCCAATCTTAGGGATTCCCTTAGTTTTTCAGGGCGAATCCCCAAGATTGTCATCGCCTTTTGGCGTGTCAATCTTAGGGATAGGGATAAGTTCGAGGCTGGTGAGATAGGCCCTCGATAGCGAAGCCGCACGCTCCTGGGCGGGTTAGGGCACCCGGGCCCCGCTCGACGAGGAAGGGGCGACTGTGGGTCGACGCTTTCACGATGGGCTCACTTTCCACCACCACTACCATATGTAGGAGAGGGAGGAGGAGGAGGAGGAGGAGGAGGAGGAGGAGGAGGAGGAGGAGGAGGAGGAGGAGGAGGAGAGGAGGAGGAGGAGGAGGACGACGACGACGAGGAGGAGGAGGAGGAGGAGGAGGACCTCCTCGTACCTTTCTCCCCCGTCCTGCGTGTGGTAGTGGTGGGGGAAAACTGGCCCATCGTTTCACCCCTGAGCCAGTCCCCCACCGCCGGCGCTCCTGACCGTTGCTGCGCGCGCCCGAGTCCTCGGGCCAGTTCGGGACGGCGTCGGGATCTGTCACGTACCGCACGGCCCGGATCGCCCTGCCCTCCTCGTCCCGCCCGGTCGGCCTGAGCTCGCTCTTGGGCAGCTGCCTCCCGAGGTACCTCTCTGACTACCTACCAGACCACCCCAACCCAACCCGAAGACCCGAAATTTCGGGTTGGGGGGGGTAAGAGTTCCACGTGTGTTTTTTCTATGGGTTGGGTTGGGGTGGTTTGGTGGGTGGTGACTCTCTGCAGCAACGGCGGGCGAACCCCCACCCCCATCGGGCAAACCCTTTCCCCGTCGGCTGGCCTGCCTCTCTGGCTGGGGATGCATGCCGCTTCCGTCGGGCTCCGTGGCACCGGCCCTCCCCACCTAGAGGCGGTAGGCTGGTAGCGGTCGTCAGGAAGCAACTGCTGGGAGGTCTTCATCGGAAGGACTAAGGAGGATTAAGCCCCGTTGGGGGACTGCTACGCCAGATTAGGCCGCGAACTAAGCGGGGTTAAGATGGATTAAACAAGATTAGCCTGGATTAAACGGGATCAAGCCGGACGAACCCAGATTTCGGACCAGGGCAAAGTCAGAATTTGACCTCCCAGGAGTTGCATCCGAACGTTCGGGAATCCTGGCCCAAGGGGATGGGGAGAGGTCTAACGATGCTGATGTTTAGCGTGAAGCGGGGTCCTGGAGAAAGAGAGTCCTGGAGGTTGTCCGCCGCTTTCGGGGCCCCTGGGCCTGGCGCGGGCCCAGAGCTGCGAGCACACACACACACACACACACACACACACCGGGAGGGAGAACGGGCCCTGGGGAAAGCCCCCGGGTCCGGGGCCCGCTTCCCCGAGAACCCCGCTCCTCCACGGCGACCTCTCGACGGCGGACTTGTGCCAGAACCTCCTCCCCTCCGGGGCGAGGTAGCACTTGAGCGTCTTGCCAGACTCGGCCTGCTTCCTGACCCCCTGCGCCCACCCCTCCGGCAGCCAGAAGACCCAGTTGCCCCTGTCCACCTTGCGGGGCCCGAAAACAGACCCACACACCATCAGCGCCTCCCTGCCCCCCCCCCCTCCTCCTGCCCTCCCTCCCTCCTGGGAGCGGGAGGGGGGGAGAGAGGCACAACCGGCGCATCCGCCGCGTGCTCCATGGCACGCCGAGGCAGGCGTGTTGGAACGCCCCCCGACCCGTCTGGCAGGGCGGGCTCATGTCGTGACGACGCCGCCGCTGGTTTGTAGGGAAACTCAAAGGCACCGATACCGCCACTCCCCAGACCTCTCCTGGGGTGCGTTCTGACCAGAATTTCGAGGCGAATCCAGCGGTGGCGACGAGGGCCTCCCAGGGGGCCCAAAAAGGGGAAAACCAGGGAAGGGCGGAGGTACGGGTTTCTTTCGGGCGTTGGCAGAACTGGGTTTAGTGGAGCCTGGTTGGGGGACGCCCCCCCTGCCCCGCTCCACCAACCGGCACCGCCGCCACCCGAAAAAGCACCAGCTACGGCAGACCTGGTCTGATTAGTGATTCTGGCCAGTTCAGGGCCTCCGGGGCCCTACCACAAACTGGGTCCCCCTACCTGGGGTCCTGGCTATACCCGACTCTTACCTGGGGTCCCCTCCCCTTACCTGGGGTCCCCTTACCTGGGGCCCTACCACTATACCCGATTCTCTTCCTCCCCTGAGGCCCCGGACGCTGCGCGGATCGCTCCACCTGGACCGACCGCGGCCCTCCGAGGGCGCAGAGGTCGCACGACGGCGGCCCCGCGCGGCGCCCCACGGCGGCGCTCGGCCCCCCACGCCCGCGCGGGGCGCGGGCGGGGGGCCTGCCGCAAGGGGGCTCTTGCGGACGCTGCTGCGCCGCCCCCACGCCGGGTCGCGCCGCAACGGAAACGGAAACAAGGGGCACGGAAACGAGGGGGCACAATGCCCAACAGCGAGTGTGTCGTCCCGAGCCCACAGCGGCCGCTGTTGGGCAGGCGGCCTGCGGTCCCAAGTGGGCCCAGGCCGCGGCGGCGCCGCGTGTTTGGGCGCCCGAAGTGTTGGAAGCTTGGAAATTGGCACCAACACCAACATCAGGGGTTGCCTCCACGGGAGGAAGATGATCCTGGATTTCGGTGTTGGTGGTAATCTTTCGGCCACCTAGAAAGCCCGAATATTACAACCATCACCTGGATCGGGATCATCTTCCCTCGGTGGAAGCACGCCGCCGATATTGGTGTTGGTGTCAACCTCTAGGCCTCCGAAAATGGGAACGGAAACGATGGGCACAATGCCCAACAGCAAGTGTTGTCCCGAACCAACAGCGGCCGCTGTTGGGCAGGCGGCCTTCGGTCTCAAATGGTCACAGGCCGCGGCGGCGCGGACAGCGAGTCCTGTTCAAAATGGACAGGTGGACAGGCACTCCTGTTGGGCATTATACCCATTCTTTCCGTGTCCATTTCGTTTGTGCCGAGCATGGATCAAGCACACCCCAAAGAGGGTCCAGCTGAAAAGGGGCGGTGCAATAGATTTCGGGCAACTGTATTGCAGATGTACTGCGCCGGAGAATTGGGTTGCACTGTGCTGCAAGTAATGTATTGCACGCGAGAATCCAGCAATACATTTGCGCCCCGGGATGTATTGCACGCCCCAAGTGTTTTGCAACCCCACAAATCTATTGCACCAAATCCATTGCACCACCACCCTATCGCTGGGCCCCCTTTTGGGTCAACACGAACAACGAAGTCGCCCCTCTCCCTCCTGGCTCGTCCCCAGCGCTCTTCGCGGCCCCCAAACGGACACGACGCCCCCAAGACGAGCCAGCGCCGCCCCGAGATAGCCCGAGGGCACCTCCAGAGAGCCTCGTGGCCTCCAGCAGGAGACCCCAGGATGGCCCCAATACGCCTCAAGGTGTCAAAAGTAGCTCACAGGAAGCCCCAGAGAGGCCTCAGGGGAGGCCTCCAACAGGGCCACGGAAGGAAAGGTGCACAGGGATACAGGATCGACGACGGCTGCGGCTGCGCTCGGAAAAGCGACGGCGGGGAAAACGCAGCTTTCTAGTCTTAAGTCCGGCCTGTCCGCCCACAGGGAGATTTTCTACGAAAAATAAGCAATACTCAAAAAATACTCCAAAATGGCTAAAAATACCCAAAAATAGTCCTCTGATGATTCTTGGACTATCTTTTAATATTCCTCCTGTAGAGGGACAAGCCCGACTTAATTCTAGTCCTCCGGGGGCCCTGGATCTAGCCGAAATCGGCGGGCTCCCCCCAGATGCCGACCGCACCATCCCGAAGACGGCGGAGACGGATCGACCGGGCTCTCCGCCGGCGCCCGCGAGCCTGGCGCCTTCGGGGAGCCACCGGGGACCAGACAAGCACCAGCATCCCACGGAACCCTCCGTGAAGTTTGCCCCTGGATCCTCGCGACCCCGCACGGCGGCCACCCAACGGTTCCTCGGCAGCCAGCTCCGCGAAGCCTCCAGGTGACGACGGTGGTTGCGATGCACGCGGCCCGGGGGCGAAGTGCTCCCCCGACGGACGGCCAGTACCGCGCGCCGTACGTGCGCACCTTGTTGTGCCACTCGTCTCCTGCACTTTTTCCGTCGAGGCGAAAATTACCCTGTGACGTACCCAACCCATTTCCATTTGTATCATGGGAAACGAGGAGTTGGCCGAAACTCGCACGGACAATCAAATTGCAGGATCCGTTGTTTGATATGTAAGCTACTTGGGACACGCGCCAATGGAATGATGCGCAGGAGAACCATACAAGAACGAGGGGCGACAACTACAGGCTCGAAGAGGACATGTGGAGTCGGGAACGAAGAGCAGGAGAAAGACGTGCGGGAAGCCCACTGTGCTGGGCCCCCCAGCAGGCCTCGAAAGTGGCGACAGTTTCACAGATCGCAGCCCCCCAGGGATGGCGAGGTCTAATTTGAATCCGCCGTGGGTCACTGTGCTGGGCCCCCCAGCAGGCCTCGAAAGTGGCGACAGTTTCACAGATCGCAGCCCCCCAGGGATGGCGAGGTCATTTGAATCCGCCGTGGGTACCCACTGTGCTGGGCCCCCCAGCAGCCTCGAAAGTGGCGACAGTTTCACAGATCGCAGCCCCCCAGGGATGGCGAGGTCCCATTTGAATCCGCCGTGGGTACCCACTGTGCTGGGCCCCCCAGCAGCCCTCGAAAGTGGCGACAGTTTCACAGATCGCAGCCCCCCAGGGATGGCGAGGTCCCATTTGAATCCGCCGTGGGTACCCACTGTGCTGGGCCCCCCAGCAGGCCTCGAAAGGGGCGACAGTTTCACAGATCGCAGCCCCCCAGGGATGGCGAGGTCCCATTTGAATCCGCCGTGGGTACCCACTGTGCTGGGCCCCCCAGCAGCCCTCGAAAGTGGCGACAGTTTCACAGATCGCAGCCCCCCAGGGATGGCGAGGTCCCATTTGAATCCGCCGCGGGTGCACACTGTGCTGGGCCCCCCAGCAGCCCTCGAAAGTGGCGACAGTTTCACAGATCGCAGCCCCCCAGGGATGGCGAGGTCCCATTTGAATCCGCCGCGGGTGCCCACTGTGCTGGGCCCCCCAGCAGCCCTCGAAAGTGGCGACAGTTTCACAGATCGCAGCCCCCAGCAGCCCTCGAAACGCAGCGACGAGCCAGGTAAAAGGCAGGGGGGAAGAGAGGGACGGGAGGGGTGGGAAGGTTCGCGCGAGCAGTGCTCTATTCAAAACGAGAACCCAACGCAGGAGGGTTGGGAAAGAATACCAGCGGCCATGCAACAAATGCGTTATGGCATCAAAAATGACAACCCTCGACAGCCCAAAATGACCAAGATGGCTTCCACAAGGCCGCTGCACGGACCCCGGGCCGCCTTTGCACGGGGTCCTGGCCCCGAGCCTACGCAACATTCCTTCAAGACAGCGATCGAGGATCAAAGATCAAAGACCAGGTTTGGGGCCCTTTGGGGCTCCTTTTTGCAGCTTCCGGGGGTTTCTGGAAGCACACAGGGACCTCCGTCGACCTCCAGAGTCTGCGCACTTGCCTGCACAAAGAACTGTCCCGAGAGACCTCAAGATAGGCCCAAGGCGGCCCCTAGACCCAAGGCGGCGTCAAGACATCCATCAGGCCCTCGAATGGCCCCCAAGGGGCCCCCGGAACCACCGCCCTGAAAAGATCTCGGAACCATAAGACAAGACCATGGCGGCCAGGGCCCCTCGTCTCCAGGGGGCCTCCCTCGGCATGTCCTCCCCGAACCATTGCGATGCCTGGGCGCCGAGCTGGTGGTGGACATTGCCGCGGGTGCCCAGACATCCCAAGTCATGATTTTTGTCACAACGCGGCTCCTCAGAGGCCCAGACCTCTTCCTGGGGACCGGCTTTTCATCCTGAGACGTCTTTGCTGGCGGCCCCGAAAGCCGAAAGCGGTCAAGAACCTCCCGCCGTACGAGACGACGACAGGAGGGCCGCACATGCTTGGGGCCCGTGCCCACCTCCACGTCGGGTGGCCAGCTGTCGGGCCGCCTGAAGTCCGCGTGCGCCCGGGGCCTCCTCTTGGCGTGCCGGCCCGGAGGGCTCTCCGAGCTGAGCAGCTCCTCGCGCGCAGGAGGGGAGCAGCGGGGGGGGGACAGGCCCCCTCCTCCTCCTCGTCCTTTTCCGCCTCCGCCTCCCCCTCCAACTCCTCCTCTTCCTCCTCCTCTTCCTCCTCCACCTCCTCCTCCTCGTCCTCCTTCCCTCCTCCTCCTCCTCCTCCTCCTCATCATCCTCCTCCTCCTCGTCTTCATCTTCTTCTTCATATTATGATTAGCATTGTCAGTATCATCATCGGTAGTATGATTAGTATTGTCATTACTGTTATTCTCATCAGTCGCATCATTATTACTATTATTGTATTACGTATTTGTATTACATCAGTGTTATGATTTGTACTATTCCACTGTTGTCCTCATCAGTGTTATGATTTGTATTATTTCACACTGTTTCTCCCTCGACTCCGGAAGAGACTGGACGCCGCAGTGTCAATGCCAGCACTCGCGGCGGCGTGGGGGGCTGACAGCAGCGCGTGCTGTTCAGAGGGTGATCGAGGATTCTGGGCACTCAGGGGCGCTGGGGTGAGACAGCTCCCTGCGATCACCCAACGACCGATCACACGGCCACCCCCAGACCCTGTCCGATCCCCCCTATCCCGACGACCAGTCGACGAAGCCCCCCACATCGCCGACCCCCATCAAGACCCCAAGATTGCCATCTTGCCTAATCGCGCGGCCTCTTGCATAAGCGATGTTGCCCGGTCACTGTGTACCCAACCGTTCATCTCGGCCGCTGCCGTTTCAATGCAAATCCTTGCCGTGCTAGCTTGTTGCCACATACCAAGAACTGCGACTCTGTCTAAGGAGCCCGCTAGCAGCCACAACCAAGTAGCGCCGCCCCGGCGGAGCCCGCAGGGCGTGACCGTGCCCCCTGATAGCCCAGAACACCCACACAACCGCTTGCAATCGTGCCCAAAACTGGCCATCGCTCGGACGTCCATTCCCTGTGGTTTTTTCGGTTTCGTGCGTGGTTTTTTCGCCAAATGATCAAGGATGCTCCTCGATGGTCCGCGCCGAAAGAAAAATGCACACGTCCAAGCGATGCCGAGAAAATGCGCAGGTTGTTTTATGTAAATGGGTTGGCATGCGCGGCGGGCCGACGCCGCAAGCCGCGACGCTTTCACCGCCACTCTGTCGTCGAGGATAGCATGCTCTGCCCCGCCACGCTTGCAAGACGTGTTGGTGTCCCGCAACCTGAGGATGACACGGGCCCCCTCTGGGCTAAAATGAAGTTGCGCTGGCGTCAGCGAGACCAGCTCGGCGGTGCTCGGGAGACCCAAGAATCCCACCAACATCAGAGCTGCTAAGTCGACTCTGTCGTAAGCCATCGCCACGCCGACTGCGGCACAGACCAACTCTTTATGACGAGGTACGGCGCGTTTGCGCTCCAAGACGCTGTTCCAACGTTTTTAGACTTGGCAAGCAGAGGGCACCGCCGCTCGGATACTGGGATAAAATCGCACCAACCCCGAGACCGTATCTGTAGCGTACCCGTGCGAATCCCCATCTTGCCACATTGTGTTCACATACTCGGCCGATGTGGTGTTGAACTGTATCAATGTATCTGGCATTGGTATATCATAAGTTCGGAGGTACCTAGAAAATCTAGCAACCGCTCGTCGATATCGTGGTTTCGTTTTTGATGTGATGCCTACCTCCCGAAGGTGACGGCGCCGCCCTGGCACCGCTGTGCCTAATCGATTCGTCATTGTTCGGAATACAGGCGGCTCGCGGCATCCGCGAACTGCCAGGCAAAAACAATCCATGCCCCCACTGAGTAGATAACCGTTGCAAATTCGTACGCCATTAAACGCCTACGTGGCCGGTTCAACCGCTGGCTTGAATTCCAGCCTTTCGCAACCACAGCTGACGCCACCTGGCCGTCGAAAACGTTGACGTAACGCATGCACTGAAGGCACGACGAACATTCGAACGTAGTTTAAATACGATACCATGTCCAAAACTTTGATGTGTTGGGGCGCCGCCCACTTGCATGACAATACACACGTCCATTTCCACGCAAATGCTGGATATTGAACTGTTTGTTGGAGTAGTTCTGGTTGCCCGGCAGTCAGCCAGACATGCACCCCTTTGGTGTCCGCCCAACGCAGGGGCCCGCGCAGGCGGTTGGTTTCCCCGCCATGGACCTTTGCGCGCAGAAGCTCCACCCCCGCTTCCGCTTCGCGTTCGGCCCCGCTGGGGCACTGCCGACGTCGAGAGCTAAGTGGCCGCCCGGTCGCCCACTCCACCTGGCAGACGGGATGCGTGGCATACTGTCTGCGTGGATGTTGGCCATTGCTGTGAAAATCGCTCTGGCGTGGTGCGACCTAACTGTCTCCACGGATATCACTGGCGGGCTGGCGAAAGCCATTTGAATTAGCGAGCTGTGCAACTGTGCTAATGTTTCCCATAACGCAACCTCCTCCGGAGGCCCGGCTGTCCGAGCCTGCAACGCCACTCTGTCGCGCCAGACAGGGCCGAGGCTTTGGAGGTCCATAGCGGTATGTAGATTCCATCGAAAACTGTGCCACGGGTGCACCACCGCCCCGAACCTGTCGTTGATAACATGGTTTTCGACTTAGGTCAACATAACACCAATTGCGCCATAGCGCGCTGCAGCTACCCGGCGCCAGGCACCCTCGGTGCGCTGCCGGGTGCCACGGGGGGTTCGCGGGCAACGTAGCTGACTAGCTTCGCACGTGCATCCCCGCCAGGACTCCGCCCTGCATGCGCGTGCAAACGCGCCGCGCGGGATTTCCCAATGCCCCCATTCAGCGCGCTCGCTGCCCCCATTCCTGGAAGGAGGAGGAGAAGGAGCGTGCGAGGGAAGCAAGGAGGGAGAAGGATGATGACGACGAAAATGTTCGAGTTGTGAATCCGCAGTGTTTGGACCAAGCTCAACAATATTGACAGGTATACCCACGTGCACGCCTGAGCAGGCGACGGCCTATGTAATTCCTGCAGCTGGGTCTGCACTCGTTTTTCTGAAACCGCGCGAGTCCGCCCTGGCCATAGGGCACGCGAGCGCGTGCATGTGGATGATGCGTGTGCGGCCGTATCGGGACGTGTGCCTCATGTGTGTGCCCAGTATGTAACGCGTATGTCGTGGGTGTACGGTGCGGTGAACACGACAGGCGTGCACTAGCGTTGTATGGTGTGTGTGCGTATGCGTGCGGCTGCATGTAGACGCGTGTCTGATGCACGTGCCGTGCATGTGTTGCGCGTGGGTGAAGGGAGGAAGGAAGTGAAGGAGGGGAGGAAGGAGGAGGGAGGGGAGGTGTGTGTGTGTGCGGGAGACGCGGGCGCGACGCGGCAGAGAAGAAAACCAGAACCCCACGAAACATGTGGGGGATTACCAAAGCAGCACTGCCCAGCCATCATTATGGCGTAGTCCTCAGCGTCTCGAGACTGCTGGAACGGGCAAACGTCAGCTGGCACACAGCTCCGCACGCGGCGATGGTAAGCCTGCCTTCCCCACCCATCATCACTAGTGCCTATCCTGCTCGCCGACAACATCGGGGATGTGGGCGGGTCGCAGAAACAAAAGAAACTCCACTGAGGTAGCCGTCGGCAGGTCTGGTCACCCAGCACATGCCAGCCTCTCGACTACGCAGAGGGTTCAAAACGATCTCCCTTGGGAAAGTTTGCATCCCTGCCGCGAGTGTTCGATAAGATTGGTTCCATCTCCGCACGTTCTGCTTTTACCGCCTGCACGATCTGCGAGCACGTGTCGCGCCGTGCCAGCTTCCACCCACCACGTCCAAAGCGGCCGTGGAGAAACGACCCCACGTCTGCCCCAACACGGCACGCACAGATTCGCATGCGCCACCTGGCGCGCACGCCTCCCGCCCATCGTCCGGGCTGCACGCGACAGCGACGAGAGACAAGAGCCCCAGCGGTGATCCCGCCATCCACGACGCGCCTGCCCCTCGCACGGCCGACGCACTCCATCCCCTAGCGCAGGAGGACACCGCGCGGGATTGCGCCCTCTTGCCTGGAGCGCCCCGATGTCCGAACGATGCCTCTCGCAGCTCCACTGGCCAGCTTGCCGACGGCCTCCTCACGCCGAGGTGAGCCTCAGCTCCCACCCAGTTGGCCAGCGGGCGCTAATTAGCCCTTTTGCGGAGTGGCGCAGTTGCCATTGGGCCCCAGTTGGCCAGCGGCCTCAGTTGGCCAGGGGCTCACGTCCGGGCTCCACCCGCACGAGCAGGCCGCCAGAGACAGGCTCCCCTTCTCTCCCTCCCGTCCTCCAGGTGCACATCTTCATCGATCGGCCGATCCGCCGTCTCCCTTCCTCTCTCTCTCTCTCTCCCTCTCCCTCTCCCTCTCCCTCTCCCTTCTTCTCTTCTCCCTTCTTCTCTCTCTCTCCCTCTTCTCCCTTCCTCTCTCTCCCTCTCCCTCTCCCTCTCCCTCTCTCTCTCCATTGCCTCTTGGCTTCTGCTCGACCTCCCCCGGCAGACGGCGGGGGGGGAGGGCCACGAGGGAACCGGCGCACCGACGCGAACTTGTCCGCAGCTCCGAGCTTCGAGGGGGAGGGAGTCCCCAAGCGGACCGCCCTCGGGCGCAGAAGCCCGCGCACGCGCGGGGGCGCAAAAAAACAGAAAAACAAAAACAACAAAAACAAGCAAACACACACAAAACACAACAACAACAACAACAATCATTTTACCCGAACGCTCAGTGTTCTCACCAGTGCCAGGGTTTTCATACGACGCCCGCCAATACCCCCACTTTGTGGGGGGGCCGGTTCAAGCTCTACCACATTTCCAAGCGACTCTTCGCCACCACCCACACCCAGCTTCCCGCCCTATGACGTTCGGACACTTCACTTCGTGGCATGCGGACGACCGTGGCTACTACACTGGCGCATGGTTTCAATGACTTCTTGTGGTAACATCTTGTGGAAACTAGCTTAGTATACGACGACGACGATTTGAAGGGCCTACGGTGCGAAAAATGATTTTATGTTGCGCGGTGCTAAAATTCCTACGAAACCCAATGGTTTTTGAAGATTTCGGCGTGCGCACGGAAAGAAAAAACGAATGTGTCCCGCATGGTATTATTTGACAGGGATGATGGCCCTGGCAGGTGCGCAACCGTTGTTGGAGAAGTTCGAAGCACGTGAAGAAGTTGATCGCAAAAGCCCGTTTGACAGAAATGTTTAAAAAAGTTGGGTTTCCTGCAAATCCGCAAGAGCGCGCGGGATGAAATTGTGACACTTTAAAAAAAAAAAAAAAAAAAAACATTGGTTTTTTGATGTTTTTATGTTGAAATCGCTACGAACACTAAGGTTTTGGAAGGATTTCGTCTTGCGCGCGCGAATGTCCACTTTACCTTATTTTTTGCAAGGGATTCTTGAAGTTTGGTTATTTTAGAACAAGAAATTTCATTTTATAGTGTTTTTTGCAAGGGACAGCGGGGGGGAACAAAACAACCGGATCTTGATGACATCGTATTACCTGAGGCTTCCTCACGAAAATGATGAAAATGTAGCTGCGGCCTAGGCGCGGCGAGGGGGTCGCGCACCAGGGGTCCCAACAATAATTATTCTTTAGAATAAATAATGTTCAACAACAACAACACCAACAAGAACAACAACAACAACAACAACAATAATAACAGCAACAACAACAACAACAACAACAACAACAACAGCAACAACAAGAACAACGACAACAACAACAACAACAACAACACCAACAACAACAACAATAACAACAACAACAACAACAACAACAACAACAACAACAGCAACAGCAACAGCAACAGCAACAGCGGCAGCAGCAGCAACAGCAACAGCAACAGCAACCACAACCACAACCATAACAACAACAACAACAACAACAACAACAACAACAACAACAACAACAACAGCAACAGCAACAGCAACAGCAACAACAACAACAACAACAGCAGCAACAATCACAACAACAACAACAACAACAACAACAACAACAACAACAACAACAACACGAGCAGCAACAACAACAAGAAAACAAAAACAAAAAAAATAACAAAGCTGCCACAGACCGCACACCAAAACCAAAGTTTTGGGAGCTCCGCGTGGAGTTCTCGGATCGGCGCTGGGCGCCCCTCTGGCGGCGCCTCGGGCGCCGCCCCTGGAGGCGCTCCGCGCGCGAGGGAGGGGGCCCAGCGCCGATTCCAGGCATCTATGAAGGGGCCCTGGGACACACAAATAAACAGACACAAATAGCAGGATTCCCAATATTTCCCCATGTGTTCTGGGTTGTTGTCTTCCCCCCAAATTCCCACATTTTCCTATATTTTCCTGTGGATCGACGATTAATTGTGTCTGTGTGTTGTTTCCCCTCCTGAATCTAGGCGGAGCTCCGAAAGTTCATGTCTGTGCAGCTTCCTCTATTTTGAGGGAGGGACGAGGGAGGGGAGAGGGGAGCGGAAGGCTGCAGGAGGCACGGTCAGCAGGGAAAGAGAGAGAGAGGGGTGGCTGGCTCCTCGTACGTGAAGAGCCTCGTGAACAGGGGGCTGCCGGCCGCCTGAAGGAGCTGGAGCAGCAGCAGCGGGGCGGCAGGAGAAGCAGATCGACGTGCAGATCCAGTTGCAGAACGAAAGCGAGATGCAGCGCAGCATGCGGATCGAACCGCAGACCCAACTGCAATCGATATGCAAGTCGACGTGCGGACGAAATGCGATTCGAAGCCCATGGAGCAGGACGAGGAGACATGTGGCCGCCTTGTAGGCCTCCTCGCCGAACCGCGCGCTGTACCTCTTCGTCTCCTCGTCCTCCTCTGGCGGCGAGGGCCCCGGAGCAGCACGCCCAATCTCGGGCCCTCGCAGGCCGCTCTGGCCGCCACGGCTCGAGCGCACCAGCTCCGCGCGGATCTGCCGCTCCACCTGGGCCTGGCGCGCACGGGCCTCATCGATCACCCTCCGAAGCACGCCGTGCTCGGCGTCCTGGGGGGGGGGAGGAGGAGGAGGAGGAGGAGGAGGAGGAGGAGGAGGAGGAGGAGGAGGAGGAGGAGGAGGAGGAGGAGGAGGAGGAGGAGGAGGAGGAGGAGGAGGAGCGTCCTGGTGGGCCGACGAGGCGGTCGCCTTGGCCGCTGCGCCAGAGGCCGCCAGCACTCCCAGGCGAGCGCGCTTGGGGGCGCGCTCCGCGCTGTCCAGGAGGTCGCGCCTGCGCGGGGCGCCCCGCCTCGGAGTGTGCACGCCGCGGCGGCAGGGCGTCGCCGGAGTCCCAGGATCCGCCGCGTCGCTGCGCCCAGCGCCTGCCCGTGCAGTGCTCGGCGGGTGGCTCTGGGATCGGCACGTCTGCTGGCTCATGGGCGCCGCGCCATCTGCCACGGCGATGCGCGCGGCACGCTTCTGGCTGGGGTCCGTGATGCTGTGCCAGTCGGGGCCCTCCGACCACGGCTTCGAGCACTGGTCGCCGACCCAGACGCTCGTGAGCTTGCGGCGGCCAGGAGACCCGAAGAACTGCACCCAGTAGGGACGTGGATCCTCCGGCGTGGAGAAGTCGAGCTTGAGGACCTTTGCAGGCCATGGCGTGCCGCTCGCAGCTGCACGGAGATTGGCCCACGCGTAGTCGTTTACCCTCAGGCGAAGACCGCGTTTCGAGGCGATGCCCTCTCTGCAGGCGCCACAAAACCACTGGTCGCTCAGGCGCCCAAAGCGTACCTCTGGCGGGCGGTGGCACCTCGCATGGTACCCCTTACCGCACATCTCGCACATTGCCAAGTCGTTGTCGTCGCTGGCATCGATGCCCCCGCACACGCAGCACTTGAGGTCGCACAGGTCTGGATACAAGCCCTCCTCGCTCGTGGGGCGCCTCGCGGGGGGCCGCCCCTTCGCAGAAACCAGCTGCGCGCCACTGGCACGCTCGCCCTCCGCCGCGCCCTCTGAAGAATCCCCAGTGGCCGCGGCCCCGGCACACCTCTGCAGTCCCTTGCTGCGGGGCCCGCAGAGGTGCGCCGCGGCAGCGTCCACTGGGGACGCTCGGAGCTGGGCGCGCTGAGACAACGGCAGCTCAAGCCCGGTCCCCGGGCCCCCCCCCCTGGGTCCAACCGCACCCGCTTTCCCAGCTGCGCCCAGCCGTGGCGGCGGGGGGCGGGGGCCCCGCAGGCCAACTGCCGCTGTCTCAACTCTAGAGGCCTCCTGGATGGGGTCCGCGCAGAGGGGGTCGAAGAACCGCCCTGCATCTCCAATGCATCGCCGATGTATGGCCGACGTCGGCGATGCATCGGCGACGTCGGCGATGCATCGGCGACGTCGCCGTGGGGAAACACGGGCTCCACAGCGAGCCGCATCGTCGATGCATCGGCGATGCGGCGCCATGCTCCGACCCCGTCCACTCCGACCACCTCTGGGAGGCCCAGAAGCGCGCCCTCCTCCGAGAGACACCTCCGAGGGCGCAGCCACCGCGCGCGCGGCGACAGCGGCGCCCCTCTGCGGGCGGCTGCCGCTCCCGGGCGCCGCGGCGCCGCCCCCGCCGCGCGGGCGCGCCGTGCAGGCTCGCCTCGGGCGGCAGCTCGCCGCCGGCGCCGCCGCGACGGCTCCGCCCGCGCGCCCGGCGGAGGGCCGCCTCGGCCGCGCCGGGCCGGAGCCCCCGCGGGGCGCCGGGGGCTCGCCCGGCTCGTCGTCCCCGGAGTCGGAGCTCCCCGCCTTCGGCGACGGCACCTGGCTGCGCGCAGTGCCCAGGGCTCCCTGGCGCCGCGAGGAAAAAAAACAAAAAAAAAAAAAAGGGCGAGAGGTTTTTTGGGGGTCAGGTTCGCCCCCAGGGGGGCCCTACAGGGCCCCAGGACCGTCAGGAAGCAACGCAGGATGGGTCGAGACCTGCGGGGGTGCACGCTGGGGAAAAATCGCGAGGTCGCGGGTCCTGGGGAGTGGCCCTGGGCAGGAGTGGCATTTGGTGCGCGGCTTGCCGATCGCTGAATGTGCGACGCGGCACTGTACGGCAGGCTCGCGTCATGACGACTTGCGCTTTGGTTTCCGACACCGCGGGGGTCATTTAACCTTGCACGGCCGAGGCTCGCCGAAAGCGCAGATCGTTCAATGTTGGACGAATGGCCTTAGGTCGGGCATGTCTCCCTACAGACGGGCTTTCGAAGAAAAATTAAAAGATTCGAAAAATCAAAAATCTCACCCACACACGAAAAAAAAAACTACATTTTGTGTGTTTGAACATTCCTCCTGTAGAGGGACATGCCCGACTTAAGAATGGCCGTTGGTGGCGTTCAACCTTGAACGAGTGCGGCGCACTCGTCGCCGCGTGGACACGGCAGGGACCTAGCGTAGCGGCCCTGTGTGCTTGGGTCGACCCCCCACCCCCCAACCCCACGCACCTCCCGAAAGCCGCGCACCAAGTGTCACTCCGTTGAAGGGTCACACTTACGTGTAGCCTTAGGTCGGGCATGTCCTCCTACAGGCGGAGTTTGGAAGGAAAAGAGAAAAGTCAAAAATGAGCAAGAAGAATCAGAAAGAGTCGAAAAGTCGTCCCCGGATTAGTTTTTGACTGTTTTGGAAATGTTTCCTCCTGCAGAGGGACATGCCCGACGGAAGTGCAGCCGAACCTGGTCGGCCGAGACCTTGCGCCAGTACCCGCACAGCTTCGCACGGTGCGCCCTGGCCGAGCGGCGAGGCCGCCGGTGGATCCACTTCCTGCGGCCCCTGTACTTCCGGAGCTCGCAGCACAGGTGCTGGGTCGTGCAGGGCTGGAGCTCTGGCAAGTCCACCACCGCGAGGTGCAGCGGCAGGCAGGAGTGAAGCCCCTGGGTGCTTCGAGCCGTCTGAGGAGCCCCAGGGCCGGCTCCAGCGGGTCTCATTGAGAGGCTCTCTTGTTGCCTGCGGGCCTCCTCACGACTGGCCTGAAGAACAGACCAGCATGAGAGCCTCTCCAAATCAAAACTTTCAACTTCGCCTTCCAGGCCACTGAAACACCGGCTCTCGAGCCGTTTGAGGCATGTCTGAGGACACTCTCGAGATGTCCGGGAGAACGCCTTCTGCGTACACCGAACCGGTGCCCCCCCCCCGTGGAATCGGGACCCACCCCCCCCGAAGATATCCCCTCGTCCCCTCCAGAACTCGGACGCCCCCCTTCCCCAGCGAGAACCCCCCTAACCCCTCCCCCCGTTCCAAGAGTCGAGATCGAGGGGGGGGCGGGTGCGAAACCCTCGCCCCCGCTCGCTCCCTGCAACCGACGCCGACGACGACGACGACGACGTCGCCGTTCGTCGCGACGGCCATCGTCGTCGCCGTTTCGCGGTCGTCATCGTTGCCGTCGTCGTCGTCGCAGCCGCCGTCGTCCTCGTTCTCGTCATCGTCGTCGTCGTCGTCGTCGTCCTCGTCGTCCTCGTCGTCGTCGTCGTCGTCGTCGTCGTCGTCGTCGTCGTCGTCCTCGTCCTCGTCCTCGTCCTCGTCCTCGTCCTCGTCCTCGTCCTCGTCCTCGTCCTCGTCCTCGTCCTTGTCCTCGTTATTGTCGTCGTCGCCGCCGTCGTCGTCGTCATCGTTTTCGTTCTCGTCATCGTCGTCGTTGTCGTCGTACTCCTCCTCCTCTTCCTCGTCCTCGTCCTCGTCCTCGTCCTCCTCGTCCTCGTCCTCGTCCTCGTCCTCCTCGTCGTCGTTGTCGTCGGCGTGTCGTGTCGGCGAGTCCGTCGGGCGGGCGGGCGGGACACGTCGTCGTGGGCGTGACGGCCGGGCGGGCGGACAGGACACATCGTCATCGTCGTGGTCGTCGTCGTCATCGTCGTCGTCATCGTCGCCGTGGTCGTCGTCGTCGTCGACGTCGTCGTCGTCGTCCTCGTCGTCGTCGTCGTCGTCAGCGTCGTCGTGGTCGTCTTCGTCGTCCTCCTCGTGGTCGTCGGCAGGCAGGACACGTCATCATCGTCGTGGTCGTCGTCGTCGTCCTTGTTTGCCGGCGCTGGAGGGGTTGGGTTCGAGCCCCACCCCTCGACTTTCACCCTCGGGATGAGGTGGGAATGGGATTCCAACCCCGCCCCACCCCACTGACTTTTGAGTGCGGGGGGGGGGGCATCGGTTCGTACCCCCCCTGACTTCCTCGAAGCGAACGGAGAGGACGCTCTTTCGGATAACTTGAGCTCTGGAGGGATCTTTGAGATGTGAGATGTCTTGCGCTCGTGATGTCCACTTGTGGATTCTCTCTCCCAGTCCTTGGATTCGCTCTGGGAGTCTGGGGGGGGCCGCGCCGTACAATCCAGGGTGAAAGCCCAGACAGAGACGCGCCACCCATGGGACCCCTAGCCTGGAGGGCTTACTAGTCCGGAAGGCCCAAAGTAGCCTGAGCCCACTTGGGCTCACCAGGTAGTCTCCAGCATGCCTCTGGACTGTCCTCGGGCGTCCCCAATCGGCTTCCCAGTGATCCAAGATGCTCAGGACGACTCAAGGCCAGCCCAAAACGGCCCCAAAACTCCCTTTGACACCCCCAATGCCCCCTCACCGGCGGGGGCGGCCCAGGACGTCCAAAAAGCCGCGAACGTAATCCCTGAGAGGCTCCTAGAAGACCTAAGGAGGTACAGAACAAGACCCCAGGAAGCAACGCAACAATCTTGCAACGCTATAGTAGCCATGACACAGTGCAGCGCTGCTGCCCGGCTTTCCCAATCGCAGCGGCGGATATGCACGACAGCGCAACTGGATAACTCGCCAGGCGTTTGTTGGTGTACGTCTTAAGCTTCTGGTGCGCCTCTCTGATGGCAGTAGTCGTCGGCAAACCAGGGTAAAGCATGCTGAGGCCCCCCTTTGCGCCGTCTAATACGACCCAACAGTGGGCAAGTTCAAAGATCTTCCCACGACTGTCTGAGGAGGTCGCCACACTCATGTCACGCAATATGAGCGTCCTAACCACACTCCGCGCATGGAAAATAGTGAAGAACTCGTGGTCCACGAGCTCATTGCGCCTTTCTCCATTCGGCTCCCCAGACGCTACCCTATACAACCTGTCAATCGCCCCGCCACGTAGCCTCGGAATGACGACGTCCCGGAGCCAACTGATGGCCCCCCATCGCACATCCCGAGGCTTACCGCCCTGGCAGAAGCGAAGAAGCCACGTGTAGGCCCGGCAGGAGATGCCTGTGCGCCAGGGCTGGCCGCGCACCCGGGCGTAGAGCGCCTGGTCATCGAAGGTGTCGAGCGTCAGGAGGTCCCTGACAAGCTCAAACGTCTCGGAATCGTTTGCGAGCGCACGGCAGCCGCAGATGCGCAGCATGTCGTCCGCGCCGAAAGCGACGTCGCTGCCGCGCTGGACCACTTGCAGCGAGTCCAACAGGTAACTGGTAGTGCGGTCGAGCAGAGGATCGCTGCGGCAGCGGCGTGACAGCCGAAACGCGAGGCTGTCCAGGATCCTCTCGGCGCCGAGCTCAGGGGGCAAGTGAGAGGGACAGGCCTTCTCAGAAGGGGGCGGGGCAGGGCCTCTCAGAAGCCCCGCTCCGCGCTTCTAAGAAGGCATGCCCGTGGCTTCGGACGAAAGGCCCACATGGCTTCTCAGAAGGCACGGGGGCCTCTGAGAAGAGGCCAATCCGTCTTCTTAAAGGGCCTGTGAGCCTCTCACGGAGGAGGAGGAGGAGGAGGAGGAGGAGGAGGAGGAGGAGGAGGAGGAGGAGGAGGAGCAGGAGGAGGAGGAGGAGGAGGAGGAGGAGGAGGAGCACTTCTTCACCCCCAGGGCTCGGCGCCGATCCTCACCCCGTGCCTGGACATGCACTCCCGGAGCGGCCGCGCCGCCTCCCTGCCGTGGATCCTCTGGATGTCCTCGAACTGCAGGGCCTCCCGGAGGCCGAGGAGGTCCCTCCACGCGCCCACCTTCGGCGGCGCGCACAAGGGTCACTGCACCGACCTCGCAGACGTGCTGCAGCGGATTTTTGCGTGGAGTTCCGTCTGCGCAGAGCCCCGAAACGGCGAGCGAAAAACAGAGTGAATTTCACGTGGATGGTTTGTAGCCTTCGCTTCTGGCCAAAAAAAATCCGCGCGAAATTCACTTCGAGCCCGGGCGTGTCGGGCGTGTATTTTCTCGAGTTCGGCCTCCAGGGCCAGTCGCGGTGGTCTTCAGCCCGGGCGTGTGTTTTCTCTCGATCCTGGCCTCCTGGGGGAGGGGCCCGTCGTCGTGCCCCAGGGCCCGCAGCAGCGGGCCTGGGCCGGAGAGCTGCCCCCAGGGGGAGAAGGGGCCGGGAGCCCCTGGGCCGCGGAGTGGAAACAGGGGAACAAAGAGTGGCATGAACATAAAAACTCGGAGGTCCGCGCGGATTTCTCGGATCGGCGCTGGACCCCCCTCCCTGGTGCGCGGAGCGCGCCAGGGGCGGCGCCGGGGGCGCCGCCAGGGGGCCCCAGCGCCGATCCGAGAAATCCGCGCGGACCTCCGAGTTTTTAATGCTTATGCCACTTTTTGTTCCCCTAGGAAAAGCCACGCCGTGAGGGCATCGGAAGAGGTGCCAATTGGGCCAGGAGCCCAGGGCCTCGAGGCCGGCGGACAAAAAACACCGACGGAGGCTCCGCCGGGGATGCCACGCGGCGGCGCGCGAAGGGGCGGGTGAGAAGGAGAAGGCCTTCGCAGAAGGCGGCGGGGCTTCTCAGAAGCCCTCGCGCCGTCTGAGGAGCTGCCTGCGCCTTCGGGGAAGGCTTCGAAAACTGCTCCGAAGGCCGGGGGGGGGGGGCCTCCGAGCCATCCGAGAAGGCCCGCGCTCGCCGCCGAGCCGCGGCCGCCGTTGCCCGAGAAGGACCGCCCCGGGGTCTCAAGCCTCCTGGGCACCTTCTTCAACGACCGCCCCCACCGTGCCGGAGGTCACTGCACCGACCTCGCAGACGTGCTGCAGCAGATTTTTGCGTGGGCTCCTGTCAGTGCAGAACCCCCAAACGGCGAGTGAAAAACGAAACGAACTTCGCGTGGATGCTCTTGAGTCTTCATTCCTGGCCAACAGAAATCCGCACGAAATGAAATTCGAAATCCGGAGCGAAATTCTCCGGGACACTCCTGGCCCATCCTATCGTTTTCCGAACGAGATCCGCTCAGCGATGTTGGCGCCATGAGAGGATCTCTGGGGCGGGTCCCGAGGCGCCTCGCGGGTGAGGTCCGGGCTGCCAGGGGCCTCGCTGCTGCACAGGGTCGCCGGCTCCAGTGCGTGCTCCGTCCACCACCGCGCCTCTCGGCACGCTGGGGCGTACTGCGGGATGCCTGCTGGCTGTCTGCCGGAGTTTTCTGTAGTTTTGCGAAGCACTCCCCCCGCCACACATCTCGCGCGCGTCCCCCAGCGACGGCGCCCCCCCGTAAGACGGCCCCGAGAGAGAGACAAGACGGCCTCGAGAGCTGACCAAACTGCCACAGGACAAGCCTGGACAATCACAAAGCCCCCCACCGGCGCCGAGATGTCCCCAGGAGGCCCCTAGAGGCCGCGATATTTCCCAAGAGGCGTCCAACAACAAACAGATTGAACTTCGGCGGTACTTTTATGGAAGTTTCTGACAGGCCCAAGAAGCCCCCAGGGAGGTGGGATGCTGCCCCAACAAGGCCCAAAGATGGCAGGAGAAGCCTCCTATAGATGGCGCAAGACCGCACGACGAGGGCTCCAAGACAACCCGAGAACCGCCCAAACAGCCCCTTGCTGCGGCTCAGCCGAGCCACCCCAGGAGGGCTCGGAGCTCGCTGGCACGGTGGCGGGGCTGGCCGCAGGCAGCTGGATGGCCGCGCCCAGGTTGGGCGCGGAGCCCGAGCGCCCCTCGAGCGACGGCCCGGCCGCCACGCTCCTCGGGCCAGGCCCCAGGCCGTCACCCTCGCGCAGCCCGCCCGCGGGCACCGTGGTCCCTGCTGGGCCCGCTGGCTCGTCCTGCGCCCCGCGCTCCGGGCGCGGCGGCGCCGCCGCGGCCGCCGCCCCGCTCACCGCCTGGGCGGCGCACTGCGGCCCCGCCGCCTCGCCCGCCGCCGCCCCGCCACCGGCGGCGCCCCCTGCTGGGCCCGCCGGCTCGCCCTGCCGCGCCTCGGCGCCAGGCGCGCTTCGGGCGCCGGCGGCGCGGCCACCGTGGTGCTGACGCGCCCCGCACTCCGGCAGCGGCGGCGCCGCCGCGGCCGCCGCCTCGCTCGCGGCCCATTGGGCGGCGCACTGCGGCCCAGGCTCGCCCGCGGGCCTCGCGGGCGCCACCGGGGCGCCGCAGCGCGACGCCGCCGGCCCTGCGCCGCAGCACGGCGGCGGCCGGGCGGCGAGGGGCGCCTCGGCCTGCGCCTCGCCGCTGTCTGGCGCGCCCCAGGCCGCGCCGCTGGCCCCAGAGGCCTCGGCCGGATCCTCCCGCAGGCACCCAGGGGCCCGCTCGGCCTTCGCCTCGCAGCTGGTAGTGTCCCAGGCCGCGGCCGCCGCGACGGCCTCGGCCGCGTGGAAGCGCTCGCGAGTGGTGGCCAGGGCCGCCTCGCCGCTCTCGCCCGTCGTGCCCTCGCGCGTGTCCTCGGGGTCCTCTACGCTGAGGGCACCCCGCACACCACCGCCATTCCTGGCCAGGACCACCCTGAGCCCCTGGCATGGTACACACGCCCTCCTGGCCCGAGCACGAGAGGGCCCACAAACACCATCACGGGAACCAGGGTGGCCCTGGCTGGGCGTGGCGGTGACGAGTAGACGCCTTCAGCAGCTCCTCCTCGAGGGCGCACCACGGCCCGCGGAGGGTCGATGGGACCTGGCTGCTCTGCCGCGTGATGCCATCAGCAGCAGCAGCAGCAGCCGCCATCGGGCGGTTCCTGCGCTCGGAAGTTGAAGGGGAGGTGAATTCCAAGCGGCCTGCGGTGTCGCTGGCCTGGGCTGTGCTAGAGCGGTACTTGCCATGGCTAGTGCTGGCCCTGTCCTCGTCGCTCCTACCTCCTCTTCATCCTCCCTATCACCCCCCCCATCCCCTCTCTCTCCCTCAAAAAAATCCATCTCTTCCTCCTCCTCATCCTCCACCTTCTCCTCCTCCTCCTCCTCCTCCTCCTCCTCCTCCTCCTCCTCCTCCTCCTCCTCCGCCTTCTCCGCCTCCTCCTCCTCCGCTTCCTACTCCTCCTCCTCGTCATCATCATCATCATCATCATCATCATCAGCAGCAGCAGCAGCAGCAGCATCAGCAGCATCAGCAGCATCAGCAGCATCAGCATCATCATCATCATCATCATCAGCATCAGCATCATCATCATCATCATCATCATCATCATCATCATCATCATCATCATCATCAGCATCATCATCAGCATTCTCATCATCAGTAGCATCATCATCATCATCATCATCATCATCATCATCATCACCATCACCATCATCATCATCATCATCATAATCAGCATCATCATCATCAGCAGCAGCAGCATCATCATCAGCATCATCATTAACATCATCATCAGCATCATCATCACCATCACCATCACCATCACCATCATCATCAGCATCATCATCATCAACAACATCATCATCATTATCAGCATCGCCTTCTTCTTCATCATCATCAACATCATCAGCATAACCGGCTTCATCAGCATCATAATCAACAGCATCATCATCAGCAGCAACAGCAGCAGCAGCATCGTCAGCATCACCACCAACTCACCGTCGCCATCAGCATCATCAGCATCATCATGATCACCAGTATCACCATCATCGTCATCATCATCATCATCATCATCATCATCATCATCATCATCATCATCATCATCATCATCATCATCATAAGCATCATCATCACCATCATCGTCATCCTCATCGTCATCAGCTTCTTCTTCCTCAGCATCATCATCGACATCATCAGCATAACCGGCTTCATCAGCATCATAATCAACAGCATCATCATCAGCAGCAAACGCAGCAGCATCGTCACCATCACCACTAACTCACCGTCGCCATCAGCATCATCAGCATCATCATGGTCATCAGTATCACCATCATCGTCATCATCATAAGCATCATCATCATCAGCATGATCATCATCGTCATCATCATCAGCATCATCATCGTAATCATCATCAGAATCAGAATCATCATCATCAGCATCGCCAGCATCATCATCAGTAGCAGCAGCAGCATCATCCCGTGCCCTCCGCCTCACTACCTGATATTCAGTACAATCATCTTCATAGACATGTCATTTTCACTGTCATTATCATTGGTATCGTCATCGCCAGCATCAGCACAACCACCACCACCACCATCACCATCACCATCACCATCACCTTTATCATCAGCATCACCATCATCATCAGCATCATCATCATCATCATCATCATCATCATCATCATCATCATCATCATCATCATCATCATCATCATCATTATCAGTGTTCCCTTCACATTCAGCACCATCAGCAACATCATTACCATCGCCCTCAGTATCACCATCATCGGCAACATGAATCCTCATCCTCATCCGTCCCATCCACCACCTCAATATCCTACGTATTCGATGTATAATCGTCCTGGACTCCTTCGTGCCCTCCTCATCCTGCCTCCTCATCATCCTTCCTCCTCCCCGTCCCCTGCTCCTCCTCGCCGTCACCTCCTCTCCATCATTCGCCTCGTGACTCTCCTCGTTTACAACGCATGTGCTCATCATCAAGTCTCCGTATTTGTCCTGCTCCGAAGAATCACTCATCTCGCTACTCGATTCCTGGCGGGACAGGCTCATGGCCTACAGGCCCTCCTCGAGCGGGCGGGAGGGCACACAAGCACAGCCATCGGACGTGCGTGAACGGTGCCTCCGCTG